CTTCTCGATTTGACGAGCACTTTTATAATTCAATGAGTTGTACTCTAATTATGTAAGCGTTTTTGACCAAACATATTACAGGCTATGAAGAGTTGTCAAGAAGAAAACAGTTATTTGGCCGATGAGACTGATTTCATAAGTCCAGAAGTCATCGAAGTTCTTGCAAATATCAGGTCGGAAGGATTGCATAATGAGAATATAGCGCGAAAATATGCTTGGAAGAAATATAGATTGCAAATAAAAGAGTTAGGAGAAACATAGTTTTCCAGAAAAATTAGGGTTAGAAGGCATATGTTCCTTGTGTTTCTGACATAAACTTTTGTCCATGTATAAGTTCGACCCAGATATCGCAACTAATTTCATCTAAAGTGAGCTGCGTGAATATAATGTACGATTTCAGTGGTACTACTGCTACAAAAACCTATATCTATGAGAAGAATTCTGAATCCTCGAGAAAGAACAAAGTTCGCATAATCTCCTTGCGAGGAACAACTAGGTTCTTTCTAAATGTGGTTGCTCATGCAGGCGTGGATGAAAATTTCGCAGACGTTTACGGTATCTGTAGACAAACAAGTGAGTCAGAGACCTAATCTTTCACATAATGGAATATTTGTACTACAGAACTGATCATTTAGAATACTGTGACGATGTGCACTGCCGCGTTGACGATGATAATGTTGCTATAAGTAGCGAAGTGATATTGCCTGCAACTTCTGTCAAAATACCGGTTGGAGAAACGCTGTAGTATGCTTCTCAGAATATCCTTACATGCAAACTTTGTGACGTTCAATATACATCACTTACAGTGTTTCTTGTGCTAAAGACGATTCCGTTGTCGTTGAAGTGGTGTGCAATGAAAGAGGGACACTGGAATTTCAAACAGCAAGCAGTAATTGTGAAAGAAAAGGTTAAGTTCCTATTACAAGACCTCTTCAGTGAATTTGCAGAATGCAGTTCTCGTCTGTTAAAAACTTGCATCGAACAAAAGAAGATCATGGCACCTTGCTTTTCGTAAATGCATTCATTGTTCATGCGTATCGGCAGTGACTTAAGTTATATGCCATATACAGGGTGTTCCAA